CTACTACTACTACTAGTACTACTAGTACTACTAGTACTACCAGTACTAGTAGTAGTACTAGTACTACTAGTACTAGTACTACTACTAGTACTACTAGTACTACTACTACTACTACTACTACTCCTACTCCTCTTACTACTACTACTACTACTACTACCACTGCTACTACTACTGCTGCTACAAAGATAATTTGTCTTGAGACATGCGTTCTATAACAAGTTCATTCCTGCGTGGCCTCCTGTTTTATCATGCATGAAAGACATGTGCAAACCAAAGTTCTTCGCTGAGGAACCTCTTCTACTGGTGGGGCGGCATCAACCGCCATCTGGTAATCAACTCCGTCACTGGGCATAGTGTCTTTTAATTGTCGGACGTGCTGCCGGGTGGAAGGTTTCCGCGTCGCTCTGAAAGCGAAAATAGTTGCGTAACTGTCTGTCACCTTTCTGTGCATAGACTCGATCCTTGTCTGGTCTCATAGCACTAGCATCTCCTGACTGCCAAGGTTTACTACTTAGTCTTCCTGTTGGTCTTGTACTATGTGCAGCTCAGCTACGAACCGACAGAGCACTCGCAGATGCATGGCGACGAGACGGTTGCTACTGCCTGCCACGGTGCTCCAAGAAAGACCCTTTCGGTACCAGCAGTTATTGCTTTTTTCGGGTGAGCGGAGACCCACAGAGCAATGTTTCGTCGAGCTTCCTGTAGAAGTGCTTTTGATGTTAGAAGTACTCCGCCGCACATTACTTGGCGAGCCAAGAAGTCTTTGCAGCGGCAATCAGTCGTTCTTACATTCGGTCCTTCGTCAAACTTGGCTGAGGCAGACCAGGTACCCAGTTACACAGGTCGACTCCTCCAGCAGCGGCTCCCACCTCAGGGGCTTGGGGCTACAGGTTGGCAGCGGTCCTCGCTTGGTTGCTGTTGACAAGCGGGGAATCGGAAGACTTCGTGACGAAGTGATTTTCCAGAGGCTCTGGTCTGTAGTCTAGAAGCGCAAAGCTTCCATGGCCAAGCATGCGACAAAACTAGGCAGCTGCAAAGTCCAAGCACTCACCACCAAAAGTCACATCTAGGCGGAACTGGAATCGCCGATCCGAACACTCTGTTGCGTAAGGTATATCGATGCTGGGCAGTCTAGCTCTCAGAGATTGAGCAAGTCCGGACTGTATCAGAATCTCTGCCATGCACTTGCAACTTGCAGCCGTGTCGAAGATCAATAGGGAAGCAAGCGGCCGTCTGGTTTTCTGCGTCAAGATCCGGCTTGGCTGTTCAAGGTCTCACGGTGTTTCTGCTTGTGTTCCGCTGGGGCCACAGTCTCTTGCGTGCAATTGTCTGAGACAAACCCGGAAGGCCCGAAGGTAGCTTAGACTGCACTGCACCACTTCGACTTTGGCTAGGCATGAACCAGTCCATGGCTCGAAACAACGAAGCCACGCAGCGAACAGACGTGACTTGGCTTTGGAAAAGCGCTTTGGCTGTCTGCAGCCATGAAGCACAGAACTAGGGAGCGTGCATCCGGAGTATCCAAAACATTTAGTTTCTCAAGATGCTTTCGCCCAGGAGATGTTTGGAGAGCTGGACTTCTTAGTTCACTCCGTCTGCACATTCATGCAAGGCACTGCTCCGGACCATGTAGGAGTTGGTTTAGCAGCAGCTTGTTTGTTGTGTCGAGTTTATTGGAGACTAAAGTCGGCTCACATACAGCACTTATTCTTGATGCAGCGTGGCTGTTTGAACTCTATGCAGGTGCTGGCGAAGATTCGCTCCAAGACTTGGTCATGACTCCAGCACGAAAGCGCACCGAAGAGGACAGGAATTCAGCAAACGGGGTCTCTGTGCACAGACGATGCATACTTTGCTGGGCGAGAGGTCGAAAGACTTGGAGGGATGGGATTACATTTGGCGATCTCCCGTTTTTTCAGGAGATCCGCCTCATGCGCCTGCACGGGGAGCCAGCCTCGGCTGGAAGCGTGGGACAGCTTTGGCCGTGCAGATTCCCGTTCATGCACAGACGCAGGGACTCGAATTGGCTCCCTCCCAGGAACTTGCCTCCGCGGTTCGGATTCATGTGGTGAGGCCGGTTCTGCAGCTTGTGATTGTATTCTTGGCAGGCAAGGAGGCAGCGGACGCAAATATTTTCATGTAGACGTTGGTAAGCATTTTTTTTTGGAACACGGGTGGTTCGTCCCGACAGCTTACCACTGACCTGAAGAACAGCTGACTTGAAGCGAATCTGTCCCGTGCCAAATTCGCATGTCACAGCAGAAAGGCTGACGATCGCCTTTGGCGTGAGCCGCTAGTCTGTGTTCAGTAACTCATAGTGACTCAGCGATGGTGAATCTCTGCTCACATGCCATGCATCTCGAGAGCGTGAGCATGTTCATGCCTACTAGTTCTAAGTAATTCTTGCCGGGCCAAGAATGATGAACTCCAGGTGTTCTTTTGTACTTCCGTGTGCTCTGCGCCCTTTCGGATGCACAAGGAGTACTGGAAGAAGAGGCATGCACTGTCATGGATCCTCACCTATGTCACATTAACATGGACGGCCTGTAGAAGTGAGCTACTCGTCTGCCATTCCCGCGACTGATGGAGTGCCTGACAGGATTTGGTGCAGATCGTTTTTCTGCACTGTCGCTTGCAGGCACGTCCGGCAAATGTGAAGCTTCTGTGCTAGTTCCACAGGCTACAAGCCACAGGGCAATTGGCAATACTGTGCAATACTCATACAGGTATAGAAGTCCGCTGAGGTCAGTCAAGAGAGCGCTTTCAACAGTCGCCACTCACTTGTTTTGACAGCGTAGGTTGAGACCATGAAGGTGGATGTGTCACGGTCATGTGCTGCTCATTGGTCGGAGTTCGAGGAAGAGAAGCCTCTCAAGGATCAAAGAAGCCTGCTCGGACGACCAGCCACTGAAGCCAAACGAACGCATGAGATCTGCCAAGAGTCGTCCATGATGCCGAGATATGGGTGATTTAGACTACGTTCAAACCATGACTCATGACTCGCTTTTTGCGATTGGAGAGAGGATCTTTCAAAGGCATCATTCGTAGCAGGCTGGCGGATGACGAGTGCAGAGATAAATGCAGAGTTTGGACAGCAGGGTCGGGAGATGCTTCTCCCAGTGCTTGAGTTGAACAACTGCAGGCCTTGTTGTATGAGGAGGAGATGGAGGTTGTAGATCAGTACGTGGCGAAGTTGCACTGGGGGACATGGCTTTGTTGCAGGTGCACCAAGTTTCGAACCAACATTGAAGGTTTTCAGTACATGTAATCCGCACATGCAAGGTGGGGATCACTCGTGAGACAGATGGAAGCCAGGACCTAATGATGTGGTCTCTGAAAGCGCGCGAGCTGAGATTGGAGTTCACAGGATCAAGTTGTTTGTAAACCTCAAATCAAGACTTGCTTCTTCATTACTGCATGGCGTTCCCACAGGTGGCGTTTCGTCGCTTGTGCTGTCGTAGTAACGCGAAGAAGTTGGCAGAAGTTGAATTCACTCGACGGGGTGGTCGCAAAGGACTTGGCCTGTCTTGCTGAAGGTTCCTGCATCGGCTGTGTTATGTCTGTTGAAGCACTTCTTGTGAAGAGTGTTTGTGTTCAGCAGCTTCCTGCTCGGGAAGTTGTCGACCTTGTGTGAGACGCCAGAACGAAGTGCTATCCAGTTTTCCAACTTCGTTCTGGGCTTTGCACATGGGCACCATGCCGACAGTTACAAATTGCCGTAGTCCGGACAGTAAGTGGCATGTACTGTGGCCAAACTCGAGGTTACGATGGCGAAGCTGAGTACAGAGCTGAGGCGCTCTGTGTAGGCCGACTCTAGCAGTACGGGATTCGTGACATCACAGGTTGGGCGGTTCCGGATCGCCAGCCACTCTGCAGGGCTGCTGCCAAAGACTGAGTCTTCCGCACCGGTATACCTCAGCCGTCTGTGCGACTGGACCTTGAGGATGCGACCACGCAAGACGGGGGACACCGACGACGAGGCATGCTCAACTGCTTTGCTGCTAAGGGCGGTCCCGTTCTTTGTACTTTCTTGCGAGATGTGGTCTCGCAGTGGAAGCGGCTTTCTCTTGGCTCGATGGGCATTCGCGTAGACTCGGCCAGCTGCAGCTCAAGCCGCAGCCCGACGATGTCATTTCGTTGTGATGTCCAATCGTGCATCAGCATGTTTAGGTTTGATGCACTGCAGAGCATCAATAGCTGTGAGTCTGGTGTAGTGCATGCTGCCGCCGCGGCCATGTTTGACTTTGATGCGCTGGAGCAGTCGGAGGCGAGTGCGCAACTGGTGACTTTCTCTCAAGCCGATTCCGGCGACCCTTTCACAGAGGGCTTGAACTTCCCCGTGGGTGCCTCGCCCGCGAGCACGGCTGAAGAGGTCGACTTGCTCTTTAGCTTGTGTTGCGACGGCAGGGTGTGTTTCCAAAAAGGAAGAACTTACCAAGGATCACTTCTCAAGTCGGTCGCTCCTGTGAGAATGCGTGCAGAAACGCTGCCTGGTTGCAAAACATTCGTGTCTTGGAGCCGCACGTCATGACAGTAATATTGAGGAGAGAGGTACTTGGGATGAACCCGTGTGTGGAAAGTATCTAGACCCAATGGTTCCTGAGGGGGTATTTCAATGATTGACTACGTTTCATGGAGTGGGATCCATCAGGAAGCTCTCAAGAGCTGCACCCGGCACCGGGCCGCAACTTCTTCAGCTTCAGAACTTTAGTCTGAACACCTCGTGTTTATATTCGAACAGATGCTTCCACAAGACCCCATCCATGCTTGTCCTGAGGAGTCTTGACAGCCGTTTGGTTTGCACGAAGCCTGGCGAAACGCTGAATGATCGAACATTGGGCATTGAGAGTTTCGGCATGTTGTGGCAGCTTTCAGCGGTGATGTTTCGAGATCATTTAGCAGCTGTGTCTCTTCTTGACGACGGCCGAACTGCCTTGTGGGTTCACGTTCCAACACTGAACGGTTGGGCAGTATGTCAGCATGGAATTGTCGGCCGTGCCGTCGTCGTTGTTGTCATGCTCTTCCTGTCGTTGTCGCTTGTCTTCCATCATTGCGGGCATCACCTTCAGAATGTGGTGGCGACCGACTCAATGAATTCTTGGCTTGACTGGGCATCCTCAGGATCCAGCCGGGACAGATCGCTGAAGTGCAGGTGCCAGTCCCACGGTAGTAGATGCAGCTATTTGGTGAAAGTGGCAACATACAGATGTCTTGGATAGGTGCAACGATCCGTCCACACGGGTTCATGCTGGCGAGTGCAGTTGTGCACTTGTGCCGAAAGTCGTTAGTCCTGTAAGTTTTCCTGTGTAGGAGGTGTTGCAGGGAGGATGGTTGATCTAGATGCCGGCGTACTGCTCAAACTCTGTTTCCGCATGCTTGTGTCGTTCGCGTACTCCTTACTACAAGCTTGGATTTCTGGTAAAGCAACAAATATCAAACCGCGCCATATCACCCGATTCGGCTTCCTGACAGGCTTGCTCCGGGCGGAGGCTGTTCATCGTCTGTGGTGGACAGGACCAGTGGCCCAGTGATCTATCCCATACCGCGGCCCATCAACCTCATGGAATCAAAACGGCGATTTGTCCAATGAGTCTTCTCCCACGATCTGCATCAAAGATATATCAAGCTTGCACTTGCAGTCCTTCACAGATTCTGGTCGGAGCTTGTGAGAGGCATTTCTGAAAGCTCTTGTGCAGGAGGGTTGGGTGTCCGCCATCGCGCTTGCCACCCGACTAGGCCACACACTGCTGAGACCACCTGATCTCAGAGCAGCGACGGGTAATGTGGAGCCGTACTAAGCACCGTTGGAATAACTAAGGATGCAACCATCCTCTGGCAGCAGGAGAATGGCAATAGCTGGGATCAGACTGAAGACCTTCGACAGACTCTCCGTGTGAGGCCACCAAGTGTCGAAGGGAGGTAAACAAAGAGTTGAAGTGAGCACCTTGCAGCAGAGCCTGAGTGGTTCGCCGAGCTAATCTTGCTAAGCAATTTGAAAGCTAAGAGGCCATTCCGAGAAGTTGATCGTCCGTTTCTCCAGCCTCTTCGCTGCATGGAGTGCAGCGGGTTATGGAAGTCTTCGGGATCGCGCACTGCGGTCGGTGAAGGGGGCGAAACAGGCGTGACACCACAATCCATGAAGTGAAGGTCTCTTGAAGTGCAGGGTCGGCTTGAGTTCACAGCTTCGGCCTGATCTGCTTCAACTGCACGAGGCGTATCGAGGCGCAGTGCTTTGGGCTGCGAGATCAGTCCTTGCATCTGTGGCTTTGCAAAGTCAACCATGTAGGGTGTTATGGGAGTGCTGCTTCGGATTGTCACTCAAAGCCGAGCGACGCATCCAGGTGGCTGATGGAAGCTGCAGCACCTGGTTCCCGCACGTGCGTCGATGTTGCCGTTGTTGGCTGCTCGGCCCGAATAGGTCTGGGTCCGCAGAGCCGATGAAACTTATGAGGCGAAGGAGAAGATTTGAATTACTGTATGCGCCATGCCTTGCAGCACGTCTCTGAACTGAGACACTGCAGTGGCGGGCTACTGTGCTTGGCGCCTCGAGGGCGATCTGCAGCCCGAGCCTCTGAATTCCTCCGAAGAGCGGAGTCTCAGCTTGGCGTCTGTTAGTGCGCCTCGCTCAGCTCCCCGGTGCTCTACGTCCTCAGCTTAGCGGTGGAGGCAACCCAGCGCAGGCGGGGCTACGCCGAGGAGCGCCTTGTCCCGTGCGAGTCTACAGACTTCTAACCGAACGCGCCACGGTGTCCATACATGGCAGAGTCGGTAACTATGTGTGGATGCCTCTGATGTTGGACCTCCGGACAGTCTTGGTAGAAGCAGATGAAGCAGGAGCTGCTTCGCCATGCAATAAAGCGCGGCGAGAGCAGCGGTGCGGCTGCCGCGACATTGCATGTGCGTGTGCGGATCCCCGGCCAAAGGTTTCGGTACAGTAGTGCATAGAATCAAAACAGAGCAGATTCTATTTGAGCTTGTGCTTCATAGCTTTGCTTTTCTGCCACTTGCAGCTGCATCCTTGGCAGGTCGACAACAAGCCGGCCAACTCTTTGTACTCTCGCTTAGGCCAACATGCTGATACTGTGTTGTCAAGTCCACCATGCATGATGGATTCAACTGAGAGACCGCATGTGGTCACAGGCGCATGCGTGCTTGAAGGCTTTGTTCTCGTTGCTCACGTTCACGACTACTACGGAAATTGCGATGCTTGGGAGCTGTTGAGGCCTCATTCTCCGTGCCATCACGCATCCCAGATTCCGACAGCTGCGCGCAGTTTAGATTTAATTGCAGGGAGCTACCTGCCATGGTGAAGCGCACAGTGGATCACACACTGGTACGGAACTCAAATGATTTGTGTTATGTGTGCCAAATGGCTGCTGTCCTTCAGAGACCTGATGCTATGCAATGCTGCACCTCTGTATCTGCAGCTCCTTTCAGTAGTGACGCAACCATGTACAAAGCCTGCTGTGTGCTGTGCTTGAAAATCTCAGTAACACGTTGCCTGTAGCAGCACCTTCCATTCATGACCTGGATGAGGTGCTGAAACTGCGTGCTGAAGGAACCGCTGACTCCCAACAGACTTCTTCAGCCAAGCGCGCACGAAAGCCAAGTCGCATCTTGTTCTCTTGCAGGATTTCCCCAGATCTGTGTGATCCGTATGCTGCAGTGGACACACAACAGCGAGGCGGGGAGCTACATATTCCGAGCTGGCTGAACGCGTCTGCAAGCTGTAAGCTTTCTTGTAGTGCCAAAGCTCTTAAGGCCATGGCCGCCCTGCTGGCAGCTGGTGAGGTGCCCATCGTGGACTGCCAGGTGCCCGTCAGCTGATACCCATGTGGCTGATGAAGGTTTTTGCAGTGCAGGATGTCATGCGTCAGGGTGGCCGAGCGTTGGGCAGCAGCTGCCGCATTGTTGGAAAAAGAGCTGGCTCTGCTTCTTAGGGGAGGCTAGGTGGGTGGGTGAGGAGGGTGTTGGGGGCGGGGGGGGGGGGGGGG